CTGTATTGTCGTATATGCGAATAGGATAAGGCAGTCGATATTAAATCACAGTTGGAAAAATGTTCTGCCAATACTATTATAACATTGTGTGAATTGATACTATGGGGTGCAGTGTGAGCTTACTATTCAAAGATTATGTTGCTTAAAACTGTTTATTGTTAAAATATTAAGTAAATCAATGAAATGTTAAAGTAATGAGTGCACCCGGGTGACGCGGTTGTTGATCGTGCACTGACGATTTGTGGAAATAAAGTTAACGCGTCACGAGAATTATGCTGACAAAGGTGTCCGGTAATAATATATCACGGAACAGATACAATTCACCAATATAAATACTATTATTGCCAGATCACAATCGGATCAGCAATAAGGCTTAAATAATTAAATCGAAATTGAGAACAACCTCATTTGACAAAAAAAAACATATCGTCGTTCGAAAATCTGCTATGTGCACTTTTTGAGATTTTTATTTTTTTACTTTTTCATATAGTTCACAGCCATATCTACCGTATAAAAAAAAACTGCTATGTGTCTATAGCTTTAATGTTTATCTATAGCTTTCATTTGATATAGTTCTTAAAAATTTACTTTCATATAAAATTTTATACGAAAATGTTTTTACTCGTTAATTCAAAATAGAGTTTTTGCACATAGCAGATTTTGGTTTAACAGCGACGATATCCTCTTGTATTTCATGTTAATCGCGTCTACCAAAAAAATATCTTTTTTTATTTTCATATCCTAAAAATATGGAAAATAAAGTAGTAGATAGCGCGAGAGGAGAACGGTTAATTGGCAATTTACATGTAGATGATCCGCGCCAATCGACGGGGAAGGTTTAACGAGATGCCAGTGGCGGTTTGAGGTATGGTAACACAGTTGGGGTTGCCATTTGTTTTGTTCCGGGTAAATATTCCTTTTTTTGCTTCTATTTGGTATTTAAATTGGATTGTTGAAGGTATAGTTTTGTATTAATTACAGTTACATCCTAAAGTATAAGATGCCCGATGTATATATTCGTATCAAGGGAACAGGCGAGTGAAAATATTGCATACACATAAATGTATCCGTCCTCACAACTGTCGTATTTATAATATGAGAAGGATTTTCTATGTTTTTACATATTGGCAACACCGTTTTCGGGTTTGTTATAGAAATTAAAAACAAAGTAGGGTTTTCTTTCAAGTCTATTATATTCCCTGTAAACGAGAATTCAAATGAACAAAATCCCTCAATGCTTCCGTTGAATAGGGAACAGGCTTCAGCGAGCCGGTTTCCGCGACCTATTTCTTAATTCAGTCCACATTCTAAATGACGTCGTGAAAAGGTATTCAATGAGACGTCATCTTATGGGTTTTAAGATTCTGTTTTTACTACCTGTAATGTGGTATATTTTGATTGTAGTCTTATTCATGTTTCGGAACATGGAAAGCAGAAAAACATACCCTGAACAATACTTATGTTTAATGGCGACTCCAAATTCATAAATATCATCTATACTTCTATACGTCATCTATACTTCTTATAACGGTATTTTTTGTACCCTAAAGAGGAGTTAAACTTCACACATGCGATTTTTGCCCTTAGGGAGTGCTCTGGGTATGGAATTCTGGCAGTCCGCAGATATTAGGAGCAAACTGCAGGCCTAAGGACATTTTTAAAGCCCTACCTATCAAATGAATCCCCTTGTACTCTCTCAACCTGCTCGGGGTTAGGACCCGGGCAGAGTGACGCGGGGGGTGTTCCAGCGGTCAACACTCGAGCCCCAGACTCGGGACGCCACCCATTCCGGTGAAAACTGAAAGAGCGTTTTTATTGAATTGAGTCCCGTTTTTTCAATTTGATGGGTGGTTATGTGATCGTGTCAGAAATAGCTCTACAATTTAGCTTTACAGTCACAGCTCTCTCTATATCTACTAGCTCTACCGTCTACATTCGGCTATGTTCTCATTCCTTCCTTTCCTTTACCCGGTTACTCTGTATATGGTTAAAATGCTCGTCCCATAATCCACCAATTAACGTACCGTATTTCGAATACTGTAGTGGCTAGTTGAATTTTGAAACGTGCCGTATAATTGGGTGAGCGGGTGGGTGGCTACCATCGTTGCGTGTTCATATCGATCTGGGCCGGACCTTTCCACAGGTAACAGCTGTTCTACGAATCAATTTAAGTTCAAGGACTATAACAGTGATCGATAAATGACTAACATTTTTGAGGGTCGTACCCGCTCACGACTCTCCTGGAATTTCGTGGTGGAACCTATAGATGGAAGATAAATGTCCTAAGCGTGTGCTACAACGACTGTCGTTTCTATCCTCCAAACTGGGACGTTGCGAAATTGAGAAAATTTCGCGATAGGCAGTTCTAACCTTCCTTCAACCAACAACACTTAACTTATACGTATGTTTGTTTAATAAGTTACTTTAATTTTCTGTACGTTAAATCACGAAATAAATACTGCATCGAAATGAATGAAATTGAAAATGTATTTAAAAGCTCATGTCAAGGTAAGATCTCGCTGCGTTGGCAGGCGTCGAACAAAAAACTGCTCTTTTCAAAACACAATCAATCTATGTATATCGGGGTAGAACTATCTATTCCAATATTTACAATAAGTTTAACAGGTTTTCAAATTTAGGTTGAAATCGCAGTCTATACTCTGTACCATTTATTTATTTACAAGGTTTGAACCTCTTGGTATATTTATAGGTACTTTTTGTTCTATTGCTTTGATTTTCTGAGCGTTGCACGTAAAACAGCTTGCTCGTTTTCTAGACGTTTCTTTCTTTCTTATTTAGTTGATTGTACAGCTAGCTCTCTGCATTTATCACGAGCTCTAAAATATGAGGCAAAACGTGGCGCTGTCGACCGAGAGGCCCCTCGTAAAACTCTCATTTGTGTTACGACGTATTATTACGAGGAAATGGACGCGATGACGAAAAATATAAATACTACATACACATGGCCAGCGTAATGGAACTGTTGTTCCATTCGAAACTGTAATAAACTGTAATTACTGGTGGAAGGACCTCTTGTGAGTCCGCGCGGTAGGTACCACAGCCCTGCTTATTTCTGCCGTGAAGCAGTAATGCGTTTCGGCTTGAAGGGTGCGGCAGCCGTTGTAACTATACTTGAGACCTTAGGACTTATCTCAAGGTGGGCGCATTTGCGTTGTAGATGTCTATGGGCTCCAGTAACCCCTTAACACCAGGTGGGCTGTGAACTAGTCCACCGATCTAAGCAATAAAAAAAAATTAAATAAACTTACTAATAATTCGTGAAGGAAATAGATGTTGATCGCCTTTTTGAGGACATTTTACGCCGCACGGTATTCTTGATTTGTTTTAATTAAAATTGAAACACAATTCTAGTGCAGTTCGAATAAAATAAAGTAAAATATTCATTTTCTAAATAAATTAAAATTAATTTTATTGTTTAGTTTCGCGTTTTTATTATCATTATATTTATTATTTCCGAAGTTTCCAATTTTTTGAGATTTTATTCTCACGGACAACTAATATGTTATTCGTCGACATTTGAATATTTTTATGCAAAGTACCGTCTTATTTGTCTATAAAACAAATAATTGCTTACGTTAATCACATTAATCTTCTTAAACTTACAATAAAGTAACATGATTACTAATCAATTACCCTATATTATTAAGATAAGGCGTTAATTAAAAGTTCATACGTTTTTAAGCTATTGTATAGTTTTATCGCGGGCTTTGAGCGCGGTGACCGAATCAAGAAATTCCGTAACGAAAATAAAACCTAGCACCCCCACTCCACCTACCATGTAGCTCGCGTTCAACACATTCACACGTTGCATTTGTGTAGTGTTTTTGAATAAGCGCGCGGCGTGACGTCGCACTGCATGCGCATCATGAAAAGTCTGCCCATCTCTCTCGCACGCGGTCTAGCTTATTAGTGTAAAGGGGACAGCTAATGTTTTGCTTTTGTTAATGTTTATAAATATAACGTGGTCTTATTTTATTATTGTTTTAATATTAAATTATTATTGTCTAATTATAATTGCATAAGTTGATAAAAAATGCTATTCAAAAACTTTACCGCGGCGGTCCCCGAGTGCCACACGTGTTTTTTTTTTACTGTATTGAAAACCACGATGAAATTAGGAAGACTTGACTTAAAAAACCCTTGCCTGCTCATCGAGGCTTACTGTGAACTTCTCTGTATAGTTACGTTACAGTTTTCTATTCTCAAAGAATTATACGGCTCGTTTGTGGCGTACACAATGTTCTCGCTTCGCTGGCTGCACGGGATGGATCCCTTGCGGATTCTGTTGCCCGCTAAAGCCGAGCGGCTGTTAGCGTTTTGCGCTGTTCAATAATAACCAAGGCAATCGTTCATTGACTTCTAAACGTATTAAAATACCCTCTACCTCTAAGTACATATCGTCTTCTCGCATTAAAACTGTACTAGAGTTCCCGCAGTAGTCGAAATTCGACTATAATTGGAATTGTAAGTTTGTACACTATTATGATTGTATTTTATACTTCTATAATCACAAATTTCGCCAAGACTACACTATAAAAAAATATTAACAAAGACAAACAATATTAATCTATTCTCAATTTGACAACAGACGTCAAGAACAAAAGTTTGACAGTAAATAGTATGCATGCGTGTGTGCGTCAAATACCTGGTATGTAGTGTGTGTAATGTTTTTTTGTATTGATTTAATGTATCTTTTATGCATTATTTTTAAGAAATATTAGCATTGTGCACTTCTTCTCTATATTCTCTATAACTGTGGAAAATTTTTTACTCCTCCGTCCGCGCAATTTTCGTAAAAAGGGATACAAAGTTTTTGCTTCACGTATTAATATATAGATTTCGAATTTGACGAAAATAATGCTCGCTGTAAATATGTAACAATTCCGAGATACTAATAACCACATGATAGTGGGTCAAACATCTATCCATGAACATAGATTTATCAAATCTAATCAACGATTACATTTTGATTGTTACAGATAATGTGTAATGGATGCAATTTACGTCTTAAAACAAAATGAGTCAACGGCGTTTATGGTGAGTACTGGAACTCAGAGTAAATATAAGAAAATAAAATTGTTTTAGTCGAGTCGATTAGTCTGTTTTTGACCGAAATGCCAACAAGAAATGGTTGTAATTATCCATTATTTATTATTGGAACGAAGTTCCTTATGGGACGAAGCGCAGGGGTACCCTAACCGGGAAAAACGTCCGTAACGTAAGATTTTTATTATTATTTGTAGTATAGAAACGTTTAGAAGCATCCGTGGTAATAGGTGAGACGTTAGAAGCTATCTATACAAATAAATAAAGATGGAGTCTCTGTTTGTGATAATAAAATAACCACTTTTTACTAAATTTATAAGTATGTATATACAGTACATATACCAAAATAATTTTTATATATTTTGTCTGTCTGTCTGTTTGTTCCGCCTAATATCTGGAATGGTTGAACCGGGACGGGACTTTCACTGATAGGTAGCTAATGTTATAAGGTGTTACTTAGGCTACTTTTTTTAGACTAGCTTCGCCCCGCGGCGTCACCCGCGGTACGACAATAACCGCGGGTAACATCGCGGGACTCTCTCTACTCATAAATATGCCGCCCCTAGCGGCAAACGTTGGCAAGCGTTCTTACTCCATACAAATTTGAGTTAACTTTAACGCTATCGAGAACGTTAAAAAACTCGCACTAAGCACACCGGCTGTGACACTCTACCCATGTAGGCAGTAAGTACGTTCGCGGGTATAACGACATAACTTCCAAACAGACAAAGACATGATATCACTTTACTTTCTTCTCTACTTAATTAATCTCTACTTACTAACTAGTGGTAGGCAGCGGCTTGGCTCTGCCCCTGGCATTGCTGAAGTCCATGGGCGACGGTAACCACTCACCATCAGGTGGACCGTATGCTCGTCTGCATACAAAGGCAATAAAAAAAAAAAAAAAAAAAAAAAAAACTTGCCAATATTAGGCGTACCAAGCCTTCCAAAACCAAAAATTAAGTAAAATACATGTAATTGAAAAAGATTGACTTACACTGTACATGAATATTAATGATCGCACCAGACCTTCTCATTTATTTTCGTACCTTAAACATTAGCCTAAAGCCTAGATTTCAACACGAAACCTAGTCATAAATAACGAAACTTTCAGTCTTCGACAAATCGGGGCGCGACAGAAACCATTTTTCTATCCCCATTTACCCAAGTCGGAGAAGCACTTAAGCTTTTTAATCAGTTAATTCGTGCTCACGAGAGTGCATAGGCATCATAACGTGATTGCCGACGTACGCCTTGAGGCGTGAGGTCCAAATCTCAATTGTATTGTATAACGACTATTACATCCTTCAAACCGGAAAGCATTACTGTAGAATAAGTGTACAAAAAGTGCCTAAATAATTCGTTTGCAAACACCTGCCAAGTACGTCGTCACTGTAATGTGAAGCAGTATTGTAACTCCGACACATTCGCATCCTTCGATCCAGCATCAGCCCGAGGACACTAAGGCCCAAAAGAAAACACGCTACCCATTAGTTTTTCAGACTGGCACTTAGTTTATCAGCTTTGGTTCTCAGTTTTATGAAGCGACTAGCTGTACCCGTCCACTTCGCTGGACATTTAAAATTAACTTTATTATTTCTCACCCCCATAAAGATTCACATCATTAACGCCCCCGGAACTGGTGTAGGGAGTCCAACACTCATATAAATATTAGCCTATCCATTAAGTACATGTATTTTCTACATGGATACCAAGTTTCAAGTCAATCGGATGCACGGTTCAGTAGTTATAACGGAACATCCGTAAAAACCACTGTAGATTTATATATTAGTACTAGCTGACCAGGCGGACTTCGTAGTGCCTCATTCGACAAATAAAAGACCTAAACTATTGTATAAAATAAAACAAACAAAAGGGATCCGTCCGACGGGGGGACACATCAAAGGGAAAACAAAATTGTTATCTTTATTAAATTTCGAGCATTTATATATTTATCTACCTTTTAAACCTTCTCTGGACTTCCACAAATAATTCAAGACCAAAATTAGCCAAATCGGTCCAGGCGTTCTCGAGTTTTAGCGAGACTAACGAACAGCAATTCATTTTTATAGATAAGAAGAAGAAGATAGATTAGCCGTCCTCGCCCGCTTTGCTGGGTTTTTAAAATTAACATTATTATTTATTGTTTTTATTATTACGGAGTTCAACACTCATATAAATATTAAGTACATGTATTTTCTACATAGATACCAAGTTTCAATCGGATGCACGGTTCAATAGTTATAATGGAACATCCGTAAAAACCCCTGTAGATTTATATATTAGTGTAGATAGGGTACGCGAACTTAGGTACTCCTAACACCGTTCGCTCGTCTGCTAATTCAATGAAATATAAAGTACTAATTCTTGGGATTATTTTAAAGTCTTGACGTTGACTTGACGTAAGCCGCCAATAGACTTTCGAGAAATTAATTCTGTAACACAAGCCAGCAATGTAAAGAATCCTTTTGTAATGAAAATATTTGAAGTAGCTTCGTCAGGAATTAGACCGATTTGTTCTATACTCGTTTTGTTAGGTGGATTTGTCATTTTTTATTCTTTACAGATTTCGTGGTCAGCATTCTAAAATTATAAAAACTACCGTTGACTTTTTATAAAAATATTTACTTACACAAAAGAACTGATTGTTTTTTGAGAACACTTGTGTGGTTAGTGCGATTTTTTTAACTTCTCAATCGCGTTAAAGATAACTAAAATTTAGTTGAAACAGCGCCCCTAACGGCAACCCGGTGATCGTCGAATCTGCCGCTTGTGACGAAGGGCTCGGCGAGTAATGTAACCCACAGACACAGCACGCTGAGTTTCTCGTCGGATCTTCTCAGTGGGTCGCATTTCCGATCCGATGGTAGTTTCTGCTCTTGCTAGGGCTAGTGTTAGCAACGACATCAGGCTTGAGCCCCGTGAGCTCACCTACTAATTCGGCGAATCTAGTATAACCCCTCGAGGTTACTAGGATAGGTAGAAAAAAAGAGCGGCAAAACTAGGGGCCCTGTTCCACTGTTTCACTCTAGCGCGCTGCCGAGGAAAAATATCTTCGAGATAAAAAAAGAGCAACCGGTTGGCGGTGTATCGCGTCCCGACCCGGCAGGCTGGTTCTGATCCAGCGGGGTATTCCGGGACACCAGGGGCACCGTCTGGGCGGCCTGAAGGGCTGCCGTACCGAGACGGCCGACGTTTTAGAGCCTTCGATTCGCCTCGAAGGCTCCGTCGGCCGGGCGTCCTTGGGGTGAGCTGCGATAACCCCCTTACCTCATCCGCGGGCTCTGATCTCGGAGGGGACCGGGCGCTTGGCCGAAGAGTGCAGAGGAGTCGCTTAGTTGGTAGGGCCCTGAAAACATCCTTGGGCCCGCGGTCTCGCAGTCGCGCACAAATCCCACACACCCCGTCCCCGCAGGACGTTCGGCCCCCGGCCAGAAAAAAAAAGAGGCGCTGTTCCAAGTCCATGTTTGATGCAATCTGTTTGACTTGGGGTTTCGTCTCGATGATAAGAAGATTCCAATTGTTCTTTAAACACCACCTGCTTTTCTGTGAAATTGTAGATGTGAGATTACACTAAGAGATTTTTAAAATATACTTTTTTATATTCATTGCGAGGAGGTGGTCACGACCCTCAGTATTGAGAAAACCGAAGCGAGAAGAAGATTGTGTGTTTTCATTTGAATAAAAAATAAATAAAAAATTCGAATGCTCAGTCAAGCTTACGAAAGACCAAATAAACCCGAAATCTTATTTCTATTGAATATTTGTGACAAAACGAATCGGTCCGCTCGCACAGAAAATGCGAAGGCCTGACGCGGGTCGGACCGCCTTCAACTATCACAAAGTGAATATTTACGGCAGCCATTCTAGATGGTTCTAAAATCACGGAGCCGTTTTGGAAGCTGAAAGGAAATAATCTGCTTTCGTAACATTGGCAGGGGTACTTATAACTAATAGGGAAAAAAAACCAGCAGAAATCATAGATAAAAGTTGATATGTATAAAAACTTTGAACAGAAACATTCGAGCTTTTGGCCTTTTAGCAAGCAATACACCCATTGCTAAAGCCTACGAAATTTTAAGGGGCAATGTTGAAATTTTTGTTTATTTTAATCGCCGTGCCAAGCTAACTTGTTCGCAACATAAAAATTAAGAAAAAACCTGTGTGAACAAAATACAAGCTTAAGATCGATTTGGAAGTTTTATTCAAGAAACCCAAGTTTCCAACACCCATGATAGAAGATGTTGCATTCGTAGCCGTCACACTGTATGGTAATCAATCATTTGTTAAGCAAAACAGATATAATAGCAGTTTTATGAAACCGTAATCTAAAGCAAGACTCTCGTACTGGCCGTTGACCCCGAAGAATTTCGTTGGTGCAATACCAAAAATTTAATTGTTTATTATTATTATTGACTTTCGATTTTGAAAATGAAAATATGCGGTTCCTTCTTTTATTATCTTTCTTCGCAATACTAGAATAAAATCTCAATCATTTTCACGATGCATTGTGTTCCTCAGCGCTCAGGGTTGTGACCTTTACGGAGCATTTTTGTTAGGACTATTTTCGTCAATTCTTTCCTGTCTGCGCAGTGGATAGCTACACTGATGCTGGAGTCAAATGTCGTCGTAATTTGATCGTACCAGCGTATGGCCTTACGTTCTACGTTCCTTTAGCCTCTTTGCCGGTAATGAGTAGTTTTTTGAGATCTTCACCCTTCTTCCCCGAAACTAAAAAATTAAAGCCCATAATTATGCATAATCATACGATTGCATCACTCGACGACCATTAAGAGGCATATAAATTTTGTATCCAAACAAAAAAAAAATTAACATTAAGGCCTCAAGTCTAGAATGTTCCTTTGTGTTTGTGGAATGTGGCTGGGAAAGAAACAAGTACCTACTCATAAATGTAGGTTAAATTTGCGAAAACCATTTACATTTGACAAATACCTCAATCAAAGCTGTATTTTTAATACGCTTTTATTAGC